CTTCATCGTAGGTGTGAAAGGAAAGCCAATTGTGAGGTTTGTCTGTAGGAAGACCCCAGTTAGAACCTTTTAACAGGGCTATTTACTAAAGGATGAAGAGTTTGGAGAAGTCAGGAGAAGTGAACAATCTAGGACAACATAGCTGAACTGGAAAGGGAGCTGAATTAGAGAATTTTTCCAAATCGGCTATTTTATCCTAGATTGTTCACTTCTCCTGCCTTCTCCAAACTCTTCACCCTTTTATGAATAACCCTGTAAATGTTTAGACAGTACAGTGTCAGGTCTTTGAATTCTGGAAACCATTAAAGGGCTGCCCCCCGGTTTTAAAGGGTTTTAAAAAAAAAAAGTTTTTTGCATATATCTACTGCTCTGTAGCCGTACATATATGCAACAACACCTGAGGGTTTAATAACACTTTAAAGCATTTTATTAATTTTTGGTTGGAAAACAAATGACACTGCAAGACAATGACACTCTGCACATATACAACAATGAGTACCTACCTGGACCAGCTGCAGCTCTCCTCCAGAATGTCCTCCCTCACAGCTCCTGATCTCGGTGCCTCCAGCTCCAGGCTGCCACTCCCTAATCTTTGCTGACCACGCTGCCAAGACATCCTACAGCGGGTATCCCACCAGCTCCCTCGTCAGGTGCCTTTCTAATTTTTTTTTTTTTTACTTTTTTATCACTTTTTTATTTCATTTTTAATTTATTTTTTATCTTACTATATTTTACTTTTTATAATTTTAATATTTTTTTACTTATTTTCTTAAATGTTTATTTTATTATTTTTTATCAATTGTTATTTATTTTATGCTTCCTCTCTCTCCTTCTGGCCGCTCTGAAGCTGCAGCGGCCGGGAGGAGAGGGAGCGATGACAGGTGTGATCAGAGCCGCCGCGGCCAATCGTATTTTTCCGCGGGCGGCGTGCCATCCTCTTCTCTCTGGACCCCCCTAACTGGTGGACCACCAGATCGCGGTCGCAAGTGCGACCGCGGTAGTTCCGCCAGTGTGTGCAAGTGTAAGTATGCTGATGGGTTGGGAAGGGGGAGCAAGACTTTTTTCCTAATTGTATATTCTACTGGTTCCGAAGGAGATATATCTGTCAATTTTAAAACACATTAATAGTTCAGACGTTTGTGGCAGTTGTACAGATCACGAGTGTGATGGTGATGGTCTGGTACATTATTTTATACTTTTGGAGAAGCACATGTACAATTTCCTGAACCAAGCATGTGGCTGATCAGCTACCTTGAAACCCCTGCCTCCTTTGCACCTTTCCATAGGAGCTCTTTTTGCTTAGCATGGAATGCAACGGAGAGGTGTGGATACTTCATACATAGTTGTGGAAGATACCATTTTCTGATTCTAGGACAGGGATGTCACGGTGCAACTGGTTAGGCTCAGAATAGTGTGTGCTCCAGAATTCGGAGAATAGATTCCGTATGAGGATTAAGTGTTCTTCCTTCCCTTAAAGTAAAACTGAAGCCATTTTTTTTTTTCCGTTTTGGATAGAGTAAGGGAGGGTTATAATACCTGTCAGTTTTTTTGCCATTGGGGATAAATCCCATTACTTCCTGCCTGATAGCCACAACAGGAAGTAAAAAGGAAATTACTCCAAATGGAGAATAATCCCTGTTGGTCAGAAGGACCACCAGAACTAGTGTCCCCATTAGATGAATTCCTAACTATTCCCGTTCTGACGACAACCCACAATTTGGGATTTTCTTTCACTTTGAATGATATGTCATCAAGACATATAGAGAGGGTGAATTACCCCAATGGGGGGGCACTTGTTTAAAATAAAATGTTGAAGCTGCCTTTCCTGACCTTCTGAAAATTCTAGCTGCCTGGCTGTCATACTAATTCACTAGGTTCAGTAGCTGGAGTCACAAACTCTGAACAAATATACAGACCAGGAGTTATAATTGAACTGCAAGCTCATTCTAGGAATGTGACTCAGTGTAGGAGCAGGAGACTGCCAGGCAACCAGTATTTTCAAGAGGTCAGCAATGGCAGCCTGCATACTTCCCAGTACTGTGTGTAGTTTTCAGACCAGAAAGGGAGAGGTGAGAAATGAATTGCAGCCATTGTGCAGAAGACAAAGTTTCATATATAATAAACAAATATGGCTGCCCCATAGTACATATATATTTACAAACCTTACAGAAGAAAATAAAACATTTAACACTCACTGATATTATTATTTACATTGACGTGAATCTGTGATCTCTTAAAACAAGCTAATTGGGCAGCAGACATTGAAAGAAACCTGCAGTGGTGCCCACATGTACACTCCTATACAGCTCCCCGAAAGCCCAGAAACCAAAAACCTTTGTCAGACGCTCTCTGTGGTCTGCCGCTGTCATAATATTGTTTTAATGTGAAGGATGTCCCCATAGGAAGATTTCCCCTCTATTCCTGTTCTGGTGGCAATTTGTAGATTTACCCTCCCTTTCATTCCCAATAACATTGGTTATCAGGACAGTTAGATAATGAACTCTCCCAGAAAGCAATAAAAGCCTGGCTTTCTAAAAAATAGTTTTACCTTTTAGCAATACTTTAATTCAGGGACAGCAGTGAGGTGGGTGATCTAGTTTGCATAATAGTGTCCCCTGAGCTCCAGGTCTGTGTACTGCTGGGTACGTAAGGTACATGGCACCATCTCTCCATCCTACATATGTCTTCTGTCCACTCCACACTTTTAGGATGACCCAATGTTTACCTGATCACATTCACATATACTGTATATGATAAAACAATCTGTAAAAAGACTATAGTTTCCCCTCTTAAATACTTACAGTAATGTACACGCTGTAAAGATATGTCATTCCAAAACCAAACTTTTCTATTTACTTTTATATTATTACAGAGCTACAAACAAATGGTTTCAAATGCCCCCGCCCATGTATTTACAGTGGATCCAGGGTACCGGCTTAACAGGGTTCATGTTGAAGCACAACTAGGCAAAAGCGAAATACCCAGTTCAAATCTACAACTGTTTGCTGTTTTACTTGCCAGAGGTTTAGAATTTTGTCCAGCCATTTATGTGATGCACACAAATCTCTGCTGGTCAATAAGGTCAGTCTGCTACTTCCTGAGTGATCTCATGCTCACTGGATAAAGGAGAGGATAGAAATTCACTGCCCAGAGAGGGGGTGGAGAGATAACACAGGAAGCTACATGTCACCTGTCTACATGAACTACTGTCACCTGTTTGGCTATGTAAAGTAGAAAATGTGTGTAAAGCTGGCCATACACCTATAGAATTTCTGCCGATTTTCTGTGGTCAGATGGAAAAAGTGCAACAGATTCCTCCATCTACGCTAAACTGTGTGGATGGAGGAATCTCCCTCTGGGCCAAGCTTCAGTATCTTGCTAGTCGGCCCTGCTGGCTCTCAAAACACCTGAGCAATGCCTGCATGCAATCAGGTTGTTCAGGTGTTTTGAGAGCCAGCATGGCCGACCAGCAAGATACTGAAGCTTGGCCCAGTGGGGAGATTCCTCCATCCGCACAGTTGAGCGTAGATGGAGGAATCTGTTGCACTTTTTCCATCTGACCATAGAAAATCTGCAGATAATCTATAGGTGTATGGCCAGCTTTAATCATAAGACTGGTTGAATGGAATTACTAATTAGCAGGTAAAACCGTAAACTATATTCTGCAGTTTGTGGTTTTGCGTAAAGTACAGATTCACCATTATCTAAACAGTAAACTTCCCCAGCCCTCCTGAGCTGAACTGCACTAACCCCTACCACCACCAGCTTAATTACCTCTACATCACAGTTGTGGTCTGCTCTAATACTTCTTCTGCAGAAATGTTCTCTTCAGCGCTGGCTACGCCTGTACAATGATTACCAATAAACCATGGATCTCCAATCTCCGTTTACGGCTCAACGCTGTATGGCCAGTAGTGAAGAGAATTTCTTTGCAGAGAAGGGGGGCGCCGAAGCAAAGTTTGCCTAGAGAACTGCACTAGCCCTTACCACCCCAGCTTAATTACCTCTATATCAAAGTTCTGCTCCAATACTTATGGAGTACTTATATGTACTATGGGGCTCCAATACTTCTGCAAAAAGGTTCTCTTCACAGCTGCATACACCTGCACACTGATTACCAATAGACTTGAATAAGGCGGTACACCAAGGGTCTCCAATCTCCATGTACGACCCAACATTGTATGGCCAGCAGTGAAGAGGTTTTATTTGCAGAGAAGGACACCAAAGTGGGTCACTACTGTGATAGAGACAATTAGGTAGGTGGGGTAGCATTAGTTTAGAGCTGGAGAAGGGGTGGGTGGGATAGTATTAGTTTAGCTAAAGGTAAAGGCCTGGGCTTTACAGGATAGGTACATTAGTATTGAACCTTTCCTATCCTGCATTTTTTTTCTAAAAGATATTGGATCTTCACCACCCCGTCTGACTGCACACATTCCCTCACATATTTTTAAAATGATGCATGCTCCAGGCTCCATTCACTTCATTGGAAAGCCAGTCAATAGGCTGCTCCACTGAGTAAGTGGAGTCTTCTGCATGTATGCTGAGAGATTTTGATGCTGAATCTGCCAGATTTTGGGACAAAGGTCAAGCACATTGAGGGTCTTGGAGAAGCAGAATTACAGCTTTCTGTGTTATCTGCCACAAACCTTCTAGGGGAGAGCAGGAAGACGGAAACACATACTCATGCTAAAAGTGCCCCATCCTTTAAGCCCCCAAGCAGTAATGTCTTCCTGGTCGTGCCCAGAGCCAGGCTCTGGTGTTCAGTTTGTTTAGCACTTACTGAACACTTGTTGCTTTAATGCATGCGTACCTTATTCAGCTTTTAGTGTCATTCATCATTTAGTGTAACTCATTACTAGCAGTCCATTAATTTGTGATCACTGTGATTGACATTATGAAAGCTATAAAATATCGCACACTGTCCTTGTCCTTTTATTTGTGTCCTGTGAAGTCAGTCTAGTCTCTTCCAGCTGCCGGCACCGTCAGTGTATTTTAGTCCAACACAACAATAATTTTCTTTATTCAGCGAAGCTCCACAGATCTCCAGTCCCTCTTACTGCCGGAAATCAGGGAAGGCTTTGTTTGGGTTTCCATCTGCCTGCAGTGGGTAAGAGAAGTACTGTGTGGGGACCAGAAAAGTAGATGATGGATTCAGGTGGATGGAGTGTGCTGAAGAGTACGGAGGAGGTGGTGAGGTCACTAGGCATCCAGGGTCTGTCCTGGAGGAGGAGAGTCTACGTACTGATCCTCCAGTTGACGTGGAGCTAGTGGCAGTGCTGGACTGTCTGGATGGAGTTCGTAAGGCAGTACCAGTGAGAATCATAGGAAGAGATTCTGGAGGGTAAGTCCGCAATGTAAACCTCATTGGCTGCTGAGAAGTCTGCTTTGGTCGTAGACATGTGCAGCAGTAGACAGCCACCAAAGAACCCACAATGATGAAGGCAATAAATATAGATCCAACAATCAGGAATGGGACATAAACTGGTTCTGCAAAGCAAAATGTAAAAAAAAGTTAGTAGGATTCCCAGGTAGAATTATTACAGAGCTCTTAGATCTGTTTTGATTTGGGATTTAGCCTAAAAGCCAGTCCTAAATGATGAACTAGTTCAAAATATCTTTAAAGGACAGCACCAGTGTGTGTCAAATGTTTTACTCTTGTTCAAGAAAAAGATGGACACATCCTTACTGCAAAAGCTATGCTTTAATGGCCTCTCTCTTGCAGCACATCTGCACCGTTCCTTCTCTCCTCCATTGCTATGTTCAGGTGCTAGAAGCAAAAAAAAATGTCTGATGCTTGCTAGTATGAAGAAGCATGTGACAGTGCTTGGCCAATTACCAAGAACCAGCATGGTCACATTGAGAAAGATAATATCTCTGTGCAAGCTAGGGCTTGAGCAACTTATACCTTACACAGCGCGGCTTCTCCAACTCCCAGCAATGTATGTAATGGAAAGGAAGTAAAGGTGAATATATGCTTCTGGGGACGAGGGTGATGTATTACCTGCACTCCCTCTCCAGTGCTTTATGGTGACCGTGTAATGAGCAGTGCTGAGGAAGGAAGGGGGTGTGTCTGACCAGGTCTGTTGGATTACAGAATGCACTGAGCAGCATGATAAAACTCTGGTAGTTATTGGACAGGTCAGTCTAGTTTAGACACTGTACAACATCTATAACAAGAAAAAGAAGGTAAGACTATAAGTAAACGATGTTATGCCTGGCTGAATATGTATTTCTATTACTTTAACTGGCAACTATTATACAATGCTACTTTTGCAACAACTATGTAGTGTCAGGACCTGGAATAAATCAAATTGACTGTTTAGGTAGCCCTTTGTATTACATAGCTGTTGGTAAATGGAACAGTGATTTATAATGTGTGTCAAATGTAAGTCTATCAGAAGAAAATGTGATTTGCTGCTGTTCTCATTAATGGTAACCTCTATATTTATCTTAGGAAAAGTTTTCTTAAAATGGAACTAAACTAAACTGGAAATAAGAAATTACTAGTAGGTATAGATTTTTGGCAAAGAGACACACAAAGTATCTTCTGCCTGTAAGTAGTGGTGACCATGCTTTTTCTGTAGCCAACAGAGAACCTCAGAGCTGAGACACTTAACACAGGGAGCCTCCAGGTGCCACATGTCCTAGTCTGTCAAGGCACACTTGCAGCACTCACGACTTCTCTGAGTGAAGCTTCAATCCAATTCAGAAGACTCCATCTGCATGGTGAACCGACATTTATCTCAAGGCTCACACTGAGAGGTCATTCACATCCCTCTCCAGGAGTCCAGCCTCTCCTGTAACTACATGGCAGACCCAGAGGTGGGAAGAAGCAACAACCTTTTTAGTGTGGACGTATAACGCCTCAACTTGTTCTATTAACTCTGTTCTCACAAGCTCTCGGTGTTTAGGGACATGCTTACTTGTCTGGATGCAATAAATGGTTTACTGGAATTCTTATAATGCATCAACACAACAGGATCCATGATCAGCAGATCAAGTTCTCAGACTTGAAAACCAACAGGTACTCTTAGCTGTAACTTGAATGTGCAGCAATAACTTGGCAGCTCTCACAGTCGGTCTCTAATAGCAATGTCTCAGCAGATTCACAGAATGTGGCAGATACATCCAGTACTCTGCAGCCAGTTGCGCACTCACTTGTTCAGCAGTACTTGGTCTCAGTAGGGAGCTGGTTATAGCCTCTCATTGGCTCTGGAGTATCTAAGCTGTCCCAAGGGGGGAACACAGTCAGCAATGCCATGCTCCCCCAGGACAAGGGAATGCTATTACTCTCTCTCACACATGGTGGGTCTGGATCCTTTTTCTCCACAGGCAAGAAGATATTGTGTCTTTTTCTACAGCAGCACACTAAACCTACCCACTGTCCTATGGCCTGTCTCCTGACGGGGATAATTCCCTCTATTTCCAGACTGTTGCTATTCAAAACCAGGAAGAGACAAATCTTCTAAAGACTAGACTCCCTAACATGTCAAAAAAAACTTTTCCCTGTAGCAATTTTTTATTTTCTGTATTTCACATGTTAGGATTTATTTAGAATGGGCGAATGGTGAAAAACCAACCCCTGCGGCAATTTCTTTAGTGCAGCTCACCACAACACATGACATATGTGTTTGGTGCGCTGTAGTGTGGGGTGTTACAGGCTACTACTATACTTTGCATTAGGGTGTCATTGGAAATGAAAGGCACCGCAATGCACCACACATCATACTGCATGCCAATATGAATTGCAGTACAATATTTTTACAGCACATTGCCAGGATGCACAGATGTGAAGACAGTCTTAAAGTATAGTACATGAAAAGTGAATACATGCTTCTACTTTTGTATTGCTAGATTATTATATTCATAGAAAGTTACTATCTTGGATTGTAAAAAAATAAATAAATAAAATAGTCAAGTAGAACTCACAGAGGAACGGTCTAATAGAGCAGGTCTTTCATAGCAGTAGCTGCTCGGACCCATCAGCTGAGTGATATAATAAGCTATTGTGTCATTCATTTTTGTAGCATTTAACCTGCTCAGTTGTACTGATTCGTTAGGGGGCTTTGTGATGGGAGAAGTGCCATCAGGGCCATCAAAACACAGTATTGTGCAAGGCAGGATGTCTGCAAGTTAGCCCCTAGTGAGAAATGGATGAGGTTGGTGACTGCCATTTTCTGTGACCTGTCATCTGTTATCAGTTAAGTAAATGGTATTTTTCATTGTTTTCAATTGTGTGTTTGTGTTATTTCACTGGTACTATGTTGAGACACCTAATTCACATATATAACCAGTTTCTTTTGGGTCACTGCAAATTAATAGAAGATGAACAGTGCAAGGTCAATAGAGATCCATTCAAGAGTCAAAGTACCAAGCACTACAAATGGTGGTACAGCGGAGATCTTCTTTATTTCAGTGCATTAAATGGGGCTCAGAGAATTTCCAGTATTGTCTAGCCCCTCCATAGCCTATGTGTGCTTGTTATTGCCCCCAGCGGTTCCCCTACACCAACACATCATTGCAGGAGATGCTTACCACTTACGAATACCAAGTTGTGAACGGGACCCCATGGCAAGCTTTTTGACTGCTCTTTCATCACACCTTAATGCTGATAAAATAAATGTGTTAAATAGTTATATTTATGATATTTATTTATTTATTTTAGCTTTGAAGGCCCTCAGGACTCCACTAGCCCCACACCTAGGGTTAATATATGGGAATGCTGCAGAGGAGCTACAGAACAGAGCATTTAATTCTTGTGGGTCACTGAGACTTTGCAGCATGTTTTATACATGTGTTTTCCCTCCTGCCTGTCTTGGAGTGTGTTGATGTTGGAACACGGTGCTGCCTCATTATTTATGGTGTGAAAGTGCTCGCTTCCTGCTCACAGGCTCAGGTAGCTTAGCAGCTAGCAGTGAGTACATGGGACATGTGAGTCAGGCAGCCAGCAGAATGTAGACCGCTGAGAGCACACATAACCTACCAGAACTTTTATTATATGGCAGGGGCCTGCTCAACGCTACTGCTTACACAGCATATGTGGGGTACATCTCACATTTATACATCTGACATCTACTGAACTCAACTGTAAAGAAGCATATTATTCTTAGTTATAACAAAATATAAAAACTAAACCACTAGGGATAGGGGTTGTAGCTTGCCAAGAGTGAACTGAAAACCAGCTCCCAGTCTGATTCACAAGTGTGGGAATCAGGGCAATCCTGGAAGAGTTTGGACATATCACAATGTAGTAGCTGGTCCTGGTATGATAGAAAGGTGGGCATGAGCAAACCTTTAAAAATATGCTGATTTTGTTTTATGAGTGGGCAAGCACCTGCCATCTGTATCCCATCGCTAGCTGATCTATGCTGTGTACACAAATCTAATTCTGATCAATGGTGTAAAGAAATGTATGAAAGATGATTAGCGGCTATGAGAAACTTCTAGGATTAACCAATCATTTTTCCTTTCCAATCCTTTATTGTACCCATAATTGAGAGTGGAGATAAGGTGGAAGATATGGAATGTCAGAGCTCTGACTTACAATTTGTATATGGGAGGCGATCAAGTGGAAATTTAGGGGCAGAGGGTGAACTCTCAGTGCTTGTTTAAACTTCTTATAATGACTTTACTTGTTCAACTGTATAACAAGTTTTATATATGAGGATTTAGAGCAAAATGTTTGATCACTTTATTACAAATGTAATATCCGCCATCAAAAACATGTATTCTGAAAAGGGACTTTGATGAAGAGATCGTGCCATTGGGATAAAAAAAAAAAAAACCTTCAACAACAAGCTATTCTACTTGCCTCTTCAGCGACCCGCTTCTCCTACCTTCCCTCCATTTCAGCAATGCAGACTTTTCGGCATTCAACTTTTGCAGGAGTATCAGATGTATGTGTCCCCTATTACACATTGTGGTTCCATTCGCTGACCCCCTACGTCACTACAGGACACAACAGTGATGTTAGGGGTGAGAGAATGGAGCCACAGCGTGCAGCACAGGACACGGTCATCTCACAAGCCCAGAAGAGTTATGTGGCGAAGAGTCGTATTCTGCAATGGAGGAAAGGTTGGAGATGCAGGGCGCTGTAGAGGTGAGTATAACACTCTTCTATTGCAGGGACCATTAGGTTGGCTTATTTACAGACAGGCTCCTTTTAAGTTTGATCTGACATAGCCAGTCACACACCAAGAATGTGCCCTTGTCACCCTTTCTTTTTGTCCTCGCTGATAACATCTTTATATTGAAGCATATGTAAACCCAATCACTAAGGCTCGGTTCACACCTGGGCGTTTTGTAGCGCGTTCCTATGCTTTGCAAAACGCTCAAACACCGAAATCCCATTATTTCCTATGGGCATGGTTCCCACCTGAGCGTATTACAGGCCGTAGGAACGCGCTACAAAACGCCCTACGCCCAAAGAAGTACAGGAGCTTATTTGGGGCGTATTTGCCGCGCGTATCCATTGGGATACAGCCAGG